GTAATGAACAAGTATGGTGTGAAGGAATCTCGGAGACAGTTTTCGACTATACACTCTCAGTATTTTTCCTTTTTCAAGAAATTGATCAATCAACGTTTTAAAATCGATATGGAAATGGAATCGTTCTGGCCACCAGTTTTCAGGTTGATGGTTCGATCGTTTGGTTCAAATGGATGGCCTATTTTGACAAATAAATTAAAAATAATTAATAAAATGATAAAAAACCATTGAACAAGTCGATAGATCAATCGCTCAGGTCAACGGATTGTTGAAATTTTCAATAGTTTTTGGCCAAATATCGGGTTTGGGGTAAAACAAAACCAGTTACCTAGACGGTTACTGAGTCTGGGTTAATGGCGGTTCAAAAACCTTGGATCAAAGGAAATTTTGGGTTAATTACATTTTAAGAGAAAATGGCAAGAAAAATAAAATAGATCAAGTTTAGTAGAGTATTTTGGTAATTTAACACCTTCTATCATTTGACTTAATGGTCGAGGGGGTATTTGTCGCAATGTAAAAGTTCAAGCGGTGTTTGTCGCAAAAAAGAGTGTAAGGGGTCTTTTCACAGACCCTACAGTACAAGTAGGGGCTAAACGGTATTTGAAAATCCGATTTTGAATTCCATATTCGACATAATCAAATTGAATTCAAATAATTCAAATATCTAATCGGTTGAATTTGGATATGAACTTATTCGATTCGACAAATATCCAAATTCGACTGACTATTTAATTCTTATATAATATATAAAATATTTTATATAATTTATATATAATAATTAAGTTATATAAATAATTTATATATTTATATACTTTATATCAATAAAATATTTATTTTATATATTTATTAATTATCTAAAATAATTAATTAATCGAATTCAAATCGAATCGAATATTTAATTAGATTCAAATTAAGATATTAATTTTCAATATCCATCGGATATCGAATCGAACTCGGATATCAGATTTTTGAGTCGGATTTGAATTTGGATATCACTTTATCCAATTCGAATTCAATCCGCTTACACCCCTAAGTACAAGGGGGTCCATGCACCATTAGACTCCATTTGGTGTCACATAAGCTAAACAGTAAATAAATGGCTGGGTGTTGGGGAAATATTAAAAAATGGTGTTTCCCCAATGCTCTCACACAAACCAAGAAAACCTACATGACAATGAATTGGCACCAATTTTCAAATGAATGGCAAAAACCAAAACACCATGTATGTGTTTGGTTCCATGGGCGTTTATAGATGGGTCATTTATTGCTTTAAACATTATTTGAAAAACTTTACTTCAAATGTTTTTTGCTTTTGTTGTTTGGTTGGGCATTACTTTAAACATTTCTTACTTTTCACCTCAGCTTAACACCCCATAAAGTATGTCACATAAGCATTTCATTTCAAGAAACGCTGGGGCATTGGGGAAACAATAATTTGACATTTCCCCAAATGCCTTATGCATATAAATCTAAGGTGGTGTTTGATAGATCTGAAATCTGAAAAGGTAAAAAGATATTAAAAGGGTCTGAAATCTGAAAAGAGACATTTTTGTTTTTTGACTTTTTAGAGGCTTTGAATAAAGAAGGTTGTTTGTATTTGATCAAACCTTCAGCATCTTAAATTTACTAATTTTACTATTTACTCCTAAATTAGACTATTTGGTTGCAGTGGCAAGAGAAGAAGAAGAAGAAAGGAGAGAGAGAGGGTCAGAACTCGCTATCACTAGTTCGTCGGAGGAGTTGCAGTGACGAGAGAAGAAGAAGAAGAAGAAATGTGAGTGAGTGAGTGAGTGAGTGAGAGAGAGAGAGGGCCGAAACTCACAACTGCTAGTTTATTGGAGGAGTTGTAGCAGCGAGAGTTGCAACGACGAGAGAAAGAAGAAGAAAGGAGAGTGAGAGGGAGGGAGAAGGCCAGAACTTGTCGCCGTTAGTTCACTGGAGGAGTTGCAACAGTGAGAGAGAGAGAGAGAGAGAGAGAGAGAGAGAAGGTCGGAACTCACCACCACTAGTTCATCGGAGGAGTTGCAGCGGTGAGAAGAAGAAGAAGAAGAAGAAGAAGAAGAAGAAGAAGAAGAAAGGGGAGATAGAGAGAGAAGGAGAGGCGAGAGTTCAAGGGTATTTTGGACTTCCGGCCAAGTCTGAAACACATCTTAACACATTCAACACCTGGCCCATGTCGTATTATTTTAGATCTGAAAATGATTTTTAGACTCAAATTCAGATACACTTCCAAACACCTCTGATGTTTAAAAAGCAACATTTTCAGACTTCAAAGGTTTGAAAAGTGTTATCAAACGCCACCTAAGCATTTATGTTTTTTAGTGTTTATTTGATAAATTTTAAAACCAAACAATGGTTTCATGCACAATAAACACTAACACCTATGTGGGGCTGATGTAGTGAGTGACCCTATTAGGGGATGTTCGACAACATTTTGTTTTTGGGGTAAAATACAAAAACCTCCTTTGAAGTTTCTGACAATCATAAAAACCTCCCCTATAATTTTACTTTAGCAAAAACCTCCCCTCTATTTTTGAAAAATTCAATAAATACCTCCCCTTCATAACCAAGATGGAAAATGTTAAAGAGATGATCATTTTTTTAAAATGTCTATTCTACCCTTTTACGAATTAATGTGCATCTGTTTTTACTAAAATAGCCCTATCTCAACAACTTCATAATTTGCTCGAACATTGTTCATCTTCTTCCTCACGACGCACAGCGGCAGAATGGCGGTGCACTCCCCCCTCCTAATTCTTTAATTTCCTTCCCTCTTCTTTAATTTCCTTCTAATTCTCTCTCTCTCTCTCCACCAACACAGAATAGCACTATTCATCATTCCCCTCTCTTCGATTAAAACAAACAAGCGATGGCGATTGAGTTCGATCTCCACCTCTGGCCATCCAAACTATCAGTCGTCCAATGATGGTATTGGGATGGTGGACTAACTATCAATCTCCACCTCCGGGCTCATGAGCTGTCAGCCATCCAATGAATTGTTAGAGTGTCTTGATAAACTGATCTAAAACACCCTTCCCCAACCTTCTTTGAAAAATTTTCAGTCATATCTTTCAATTCCCCACACGAATTTTTCTCTGATTTTTGCAAATTCTTTTTCTCTCACATTAAATAAAAACTCTAGAAAATTATATGGGTTCGATTATTTTAGGCCAAATAAGCAAAACCCATGTCAGATTTCAAATGAATTTTCCAGATTTTTTGGTGTAATACTATTATTTGGGAATTTGCCTTTATCCATCTCCTTTGATGGAAAAAGTAAAATTTCATTCACATGTGACAAACATCCTATTACACACATCTATAAATTAAAATTCACGTGTTTAGTCCAAAAAAATTGCGCAAATTGTTAATACAAATCCTAATAAATCAAAGAGAGAAAAAAACTATGAGGAGTCTCTACGAATTGGATGGAGGTTGAAGTCTCAGCACGTCGTTTGTCTGGTCAAGAGCGAAGAATTGAACCCTAGTCTCGAAGCACCCACATCCAACTGTACAAGATTCTTCTCCAACTGAAGTGTCTCCGACATGTCGATGCTTGGAACCACCGTATAAGGCCCATTGCCGATTGGGGACGGGGACGGGGAATGCAATCCCCACCCTGACCCATCCCCGATTAATATATATATATATAATATTATTCATTTTTAAAATATTAATTATTAAAACTTGAAAAATAGTAAAAGTGTAAAATACTAAACTAAAGTCTAAATCCCTCGACAAAGAGAAGAGAGACTCGGAGAAGTCGAGAAATCTCAACTTGTCTCTCTCTAGAACAGCTTCGCCGATTCGCCTTCCTTCATCTTCGACTCTTCGCCACCGAATCGCCGACCGCCGTTGTTGTTGCCCGTCATCGCCGCAGAAGATTCAAAACCCTAGCTTCGTGCCTTCTCGAGTGATAGAGAATAGATAAAGAAGAGTTTCAGTTGTCAGTCCTTCTAACCTTTGCCTATCGTCATTGACCGCAGTCGTTGTGACGTCATCGCTCGTCACACTCTCTCTCGTCACCGATCTTAACTCTCCCAACGGTCCTCTCTCTCTCTCTTAGTCTCAATCTCTCATTCTCTCTGTCTCAACCTCTCAGTCCGTCGGGGATTCGAGTCTCCGATAGGGAATTCATCCCCGTCGGGGGCGGGGATTCCTTTCCCCGTGGGGATCGGAGACGGGGATAGAGGTGATTTAGGGGTCGGGGTCGGGGATGGGGAATGTAATCCCCACCTTGAACCCACCCCGTTGCCATTCCTAGATGTAGTTGATGATGTCAAACAGATAGCGAACTTCCGATCAAAATTAAACGCTACTGCGAGCTGCGATGGTAACCCAATTCGGTTACGACCAAAGGCCGCCATTCCCTTGACACCGTTCGCCAAATGAGCCAAGAGGGGAGTTGGAACACACAAGAAGAGGGAGTGATGGGCGACAACAATTGGGCCAGGCTCTGATCTGTAAGCAGAGGGAAGGGCTATCATGTCTTTTGCAAGCTCATCGCTGGTGACAGTATCAGTGATGGTGTTCTCCAGGGACAAATCACAAGTGTGGTTGTTACAGTTGAGGTGAGGAGTAGAGAAGTAGAGGCCACATCGTTGGGGAGAGAGAGAGAATCACAGGGAAATTAAAGTAGAGGGAAGGTTGGAGGGGGGAGTTCACCGCCATTCTGTTGCTGTGCGTCATAAGGAAGAAGATGAACACTACAAACAGATTATGGAGTTGTTGAGATATGACTATTTTAATAAAAACAAATGCATATTAATTCATAAAAAAGGTAAAATAGGCATTTTGAAAAATATCATCTCTTTAACGTTTTCCGTCTTCGTCAATACGAAAGGGAGTTATTTATTGAATTTTTCAAAAATAGGAGGAGATTTTTACTAAATTAAAACTATAGGGGAGATTTTTATGATTGTCAAAACTTCAGGGAGAATTTTGTATTTTACCCTTGTTTTTGAAAGCAAGAACAAAACCAACCATGTTATTGAACGCCCAAAGTTTAGTTTTATGGGTTGGGTGAAATTCCGTTCGTGTAGGTGGCAGATCCGAGCGATTACCGACTTATTGAATGTAGGCGGTGAAATTGGATGAACCAAATAACAAGGAACACTGAAACACGCGAGAACGTAGAGAAGGGAGGAAAACGAATCGGATACTTCAGCTTTGCAGGTTCCGTTTAGATCTCTGTTCGTCTTCTAGTCATTGGGATCACCTTGTGACAGTTCTTACACAGGAATTCCATGCAATCGGTTCTGTCATTTTCTCTAGTTCTGGCGCTTCTATGTTCTCTTTCTATCTCTTCAGCCTATAGGCAAGAACTCTTGCTTTTTATTCTCATCTGTATGCAACTTTACTTTAATGTGGAATATTCATTAAGTCTTTGTTACTGCGTGTACATAGAAGGATTTTGTAATGAAATCCAAGTGGGTTTTGTCAGAATGCCTTAAAAGTTTGGTTTTTGTACCGGGTTTGTGGTCTTTTATGTAAAGGATAGATTTCTCATCATTAATGGCCTGACTCCCAATGGAATCGCGGGATTTTATTTTATTTTTTTCATGGATGAGTTTATCCTTGTTTTGGCGAAGGAGAGGTTTCTGAAATACCTTTTATCCGTTGGTTTCTTTTGATTTTGTTCGAGATTCCATGACATATACACGTTTGGTTTTTGATGAAAGAGAATGTTAATTATTATTTATTTGCTCGTGGGATCTGTTTTGGAATTAAAAATTGTGAAGGAGATTCTATTGTCACTCTCGACATGGGCTTGTGGACTTTGCTTAGAGCAAGCAGAAACGAGTTTGACAGTGATTCTGGTATAAAATTTTCCTTTTTTTTTGTCCTTAGGGTGTTTTGAGAAGATTACGTCGAGAAATCCATTTAGTAGTGAAGAAAGGCCATCACTGCCTAATTCACTGTAACCTTTGTCGATTTAGTACCTCTGATTAAACAGATCCATATGAGTTCTATCACTTTCTTCCATTACCAGATATTTAGTGACAGAAAATAATGTAGTAACTGAAATATAGTCAACCGGGTTACTCTGTAAAATGTGAGAATATTTGTTTGTTTGTTTGTTTGTTTTTTGTTTTTTTTTTTTTTTGTAAATGGAAATTCTGAAGATATAAGAAATTCTGCTATGGATTCTACTTAGAATATGAGGCTTCTTTAGAAGCAGTTCCTAAAGAGAATGACCTTACATATTCTTCTGAAAATTCTTTTGATTTCTATTGGGCCTCCTCCCCCACCTTGGTTGTGACTGTTCCAACAAGCTTCTTTAGAAGCAGTTCCTAAAGAGAATGACCTTACATATTGTTCTGAAAATTCTTTTGATTTCTATTGGGCCCCCTCCCCTACATTGGTTGTGACTGTTCCAACAATGACAATAATGAATTTGAGCTCCAGTTCTGTTTCTGGATAGTTTGCTGAGCATAGACAAGAATGCTTGGTACCAAATAAGGGAAGAATGGAGATTCATCTACTAAACTTTTGGTATTTTATTGTTGTGTCTTGGCACACATTTCAATTGTTTCAGGAAGGAGCTGCGAAATAAGGAGGTGAACCAGGAAGATGTGAAAGTGGTCCATACAGCTCAATCCACAAGAGTTGACCCATCGCGGGTTATCCAAATCTCTTGGCGACCAAGGTCATGTACTTCAGCAAATTTGTTATTATGTCACTTGTGTCATCACATATGAGGTGGTCTTGTGTGAGTACACATCTTGATCAAATATGCAAATATACATCTCTTAAACATAGGTCATCATGATCATGATCACGATCATCATCTAAGCCTTATCTAAATTCTATGTGGTTGGCTAGATGAATCCTGTTTCACCATTTCGTTCTATTAGGTGCCATATCCATTGTTAAATTATGGGCGCTTAAATCATTTCTTACTACTTCAACCCAAGTCCTTTTCTGTCTTCCCCTAGCTCATTTAGCCCCTTCAATTTGTAATAGATCACTTTTTCTAACAGGTGATAGATGATGGATCATTGTCTTTTCTGGGAAAACAGTGTCAGGAGATGGCATTGTATTTTAAACTAAGCATAAAATAGTGAAAATCTTTGCCAGATGGAATTGAGGGGGGAAGACTTCAACTTCTAAAAATACAAGTCCATATTTGTATTGACTTTTCCTTGTTTGCTTATAACATCTGACATTTCTTTTTCTTTTTTTTCAATGAAATAGGGTCTTCTTGTATAAAGGTTTTCTATCTGACGAGGAGTGTGAGCACCTTGTTTCGTTGGTAATTCCTGGCTTATCACTTGCTATCTATTAATCCATTGCCCTTACCTTGGTTCTGAGACTGTGTTTTGCGTTCAGGCACGTGGAAAGCTAGAAAAGTTTGCTTTAAATGAAAGTGACTCAGAGAGTTCTGTTACAAAATCTCAACTTTCAAGTTCTGCAACTCCCTTGGAAACAGACCAAGTAAGTTTCTATTGCAGCATCAGTGGTTGGACTTGGGAATTTTTTTTGGATAAATGTTGGACATGGGAATTATCAATATAGAATTAATGTTATGGATGTATTCAACATAGATATTGCATTAGAAGAGTATCCAAATATGGTAACCATTAACCTTGCAGTCATGAATGTAGACTTTTTTATCTACTGTAGTTCGAGGCATGCATGGATGCTTTCTATCAGTATCTGCAGCTACAAGTTGGTGCTTGGTTGCTTCTCTTTAGACTTCTGCTCTAGTGATCTGGTATAGATACAAGCTATTAGAATTAAAATTTGCATGATCTGCAATTTCCCATAAACTCATCTTCTTCCTTGTTTCTCTTTCTTGACTTTAAGTTTGTATTGCCACAAAGTATACAATTATATTGGGGTTTCTACCTTAGGCTGCTTCTAGAGTTTCACTGGTGAATGCTGCATTGGTTTCTGAAAGCTACTCTATTATTACCGCTTTTTCTCCATTGGAGAATCCTTTTCTCAACTTATTAGCAGTGGGGTCTGATAAAGTTGTTGAAGCTGTTGGAGCAAAACTGGTAGTGGAATAATGGATGGTAACTTCTCTAAAATTAGCAAGACAAGCTGAATCTGAAACATATAGAGATTGAGGATAACTCCATGTTGGTGAAGGGGCTGGACGGTGAACAATAGTGAGGGTTTGTGGGCATTCAGATGTGTAATAATGGAAATCAGGAGGCTAGCAAGAGAGGTTTAGGCCACTTTGAAATGGGTTAATAGGTCAGCAGATGCATTGGCAGATTCTTTAGAAAAGCAACAGGTGACTAGGGAGCAACTTTTCTGGGCTAACTTGTACTCATAAGATTCGTGTGGGTTTGGCTTGGGTTGGGAGTTTAAATTAATTCAAGTTTTAGCCTTTTTGGTTACCGGTAAAAAAAAACTCCAGGACTTAATCTTAATGGATAGGCTTTTGATGCTCATCATTCCAGATTTAGTTTGGTTAAGAGATTATATCTTCTACAAAAAATAAAAAGGAATGCTGTTGGTGTCTCAAAGACCTATACGAGGGTGACTTAATCTTGGTCACATACCTCCTGTGGAACCTTTTCATTGGGGAATCTTTTACCACTTCCATGCCTTAGCCAATGATGGAAGAAGGAAAAATCTCATCTCCAAATTGGAAGTTGAAGGGGAGACTATTGATCAACAAAATGAAATTGCTAGTGCCCTTGTGAACCATTTCAAGTTGATCTTTAGAAAACCTATCTTTAGAAAGACTTTGTGTGGAAGGGTTGGAGTGGCCAAGAGTTTTGGATGAGCAAAAAAGTTGGTTAGAAAGGTTTAATTTGGAGGAAATAAAGGAAGTAGTTTTTTCGATGGATAGATCTAAAGCACTAGGTCTAGATGGTTTTACTATGGCTTTCTACCAGGACTGTTGGGACATCTTGAAGGAGGATATCCAAAAGGTGTTTGATGGTTTTTTTTTTTTGTAGAGGCGTAATTAATCCAGAATTAAATTCTACCTTCATTGACTTGATTCCAAAGAAATTAGGGGCAATACAACCTAAGGAGTTTAGGTCCATTTGTCTAGTTCACATCCTTTACAAAATTATTGCTAAGGTGCTATCAAGAAGAATTAAATCAGTGCTTCCTTCTATTATTTCCTTAAATCGAGGAGCCTTTGTCAAGGATAGGCAGATCATCGATCAAATCCTTATGGCTAATGAGAGTGTGGAGAAGCTAAAAAATATGGAAAGAAAAGTTTGATTTGCAAGCTCGATCTAGAGAAAGCATATGATTTGGTGGATTGGGATTTCTTATTGGAAGTGATGAGAAACTTTGTATTTGGAGATAGGTGGTGCAAATGGATTAAATGGTGCATTAGTACTTGTCATTACTCAATTTTGGTTAATGGCAAAGTTGTTGATCACTTTCCAGCCATCAAAGGTATTAGACAAGGGGACCCACTCTCTCCTTTCTTATTCACGCTAGTAGCTGAAGTGCTTTGTATTCTTTTCCAAAGAGCAGATTTGAGGGGTTTGGTGAGAGGTTGGAGGGTGGGAAGAGAAAGAGTGCCTATTACTCACTTGCAGTTTGCCGATGATACTGTCCTATTTTGTGAGGGAGCTGATCTAAATTGGGTGAGGAATATGAAGGAGGTGTTCCAAGTCTTTGAGAAAATGACAAATCTGAAAGTTAACTTCAATAAGACATGTGTGGCAGGTATCAACATGGATGATGAAGAGGTATATGAATGTGTTGGGTTTTGAGGTATTCTAGTGGCTTATGAATTATTTGGGTTTACCTCCGGGGGGCAACCCTAGAAGTGTGAATTTTTGGAACCCAGTGGTGGATAGGTTCTCAAAAGGCTTGCTTCCTGGAAAAGGAATTCTCTCTCAATGGGTGGAAGAATTACCTTGATCAAATCAACTTTGGCTAATCTGCCAGTCTACATCCTTTCAGTTTTTAGGATACCTGTGGAACATAGTTTTCAAGGCGTCTAGGCGATTCTGGGCGACACTGGGGCACCTAGTGGCCTAGTTGCCTAGGCGATAAAAATTTTATAATATAAAAAACTAGCTTTTGGCTAGTTTCCTAGTTTTATATACCATTCAGCATGTATGCTAATTGAAAAAATAGCAATTCTCTTTATTAAGAACATTAAATTTCCTCTAAAAATGTGGCAAATCATCACATCTAAAAGATAAAAATCTTTTACATATATTAATTTCATTATTTTCAAAAATAATACTACTATAATAAATATTTAATGGAGAAAATTCATATTAATTAGCAACTAAAGAAGGTTATTAACTTTATATGATAAATATTCAAGATGGAAAGTAAAATAGAAAAAAAAACAAGGATGGAGTTTCTGTTTATTTAATTAGAGAGAGAGAGAATAGAAAAAAAGAACTTTATTATTCTATTCTTTCTTTCCTCTTTCTTTTCTTTCTTTCTTTCTTTCTTTCTTTTTCTCTTCTTAAAACCCTTTGATCTTTTAAATTTCAATAGTAAAACATTAAAACAAAGTATTATTGATATATATATATATGTGTGTGTGTGTGTGTGTGTGTGTGTGTGTGTGTATATATAGCATATAATAAAATGTATTAACACATACATTAATAAGATACAACAATATAAATGATATTATAAAAGGCACCCGCCTTGTCATTTTTGTCGCCTAGGCGGGCGCTTAGTTTCCTGCGGGCACCTAGTCGCCTAGAAGGGTGCCTAGTTGCTAAAAGTCAAGGCGTTTGGGCAAGGTGCCTAAGCGATGCCTTGACAACTATGCTGTGGAAATTTGTAGAAGGTTGGAGAAACAAATGAGGGATTTTTTATGGGAGCTGAGAGAAGAAAAGAGGGATCATAGGGTGAATTGGGAAGTGGTAAGTAGAAGTAAGGAGCTAGGGGGTCTAGTAACCGGGAACATTTAGAAGAGGAAAACAGCCTTGTTGGGAAAATGGTTATGGAGATTTCCAGTGGATCAGGGTAAATTGTGGACAAAGGTGATTAAGAGTATACATGGGTAGACAGTAGATGGATAGGATGCAAGAATTTCGGCTAGAGCAACTACTGCAACACCTTGGAAAGCCGTCCATGCCATTCTTCCTTGTTTTCTACCTTTCATCAGGTATAACTTGTGCTACGGAAACATTGTAAGGTTCTAGGAACATGTGTGGGTGGGGGAGGCACCACTTAAAAGACCAAATTCCCTTCCCTGTTCTCCCTTTCTAGGTACAAAAATTTGACTGCCTCATCCTTAGTCTCATCCATTGGTCCAGGGCCTGAACTTAATTGGGATTTGGGGTTTAGACGAGGTCTCAGAGATTTAGAGGTGGAGGTGGTGTGGTCCTTGGTTCAGGTACTTCAAAAGGTCCTCTTGGACCTGTCTAGGGGGGATTCCTAAATTTGGACCCTTTCTTCTTCAGGCTCTTTTAGTTGTTCTTCTTTTTTCAATGCCCTAACTCAACCCACTCCTCTTTCCAATCCCTTTCCTTCTAAGGAAGTGTGGGGGAGACCGGTCCTACCTAAGGTCAGAGCACTTTTCTGGGAAATATTGTTGGAAAGAATTAATAGTTGCGATCAACTTCAAAGAAAGAAGCCTTTTTGGTGCTTGTCCCCGAACTGGTGTACCCTTTGTAAAGTCAATGGTGAGTCTTGCTTTCTTACTTATATCCTATCCTTTTACTTCTTCTATTTGGGAATGGGTTTTTCTCTTTATTTGGTTATAGGTGGACTCCCCCGTCTAGCATTCAAAGCCTCTTTGTCTATTCGATTGGTAGCCGGATCAAAAAGAGGGGAAAAATCTTGTGGAGGTGCACCAAGAAAGTTGTTTGTTGGACAATTTGGGGGGAAAGGAACCACAAGATATTTGCTAAAAAAGAAAGAAGCAGGGACACAATTATAGAAGTGATTACTTTGAGGGTAGTACTATGGGTAAAGACAATGGTCCTATTTGATGATGCTCCAATAGAGACCATTGTGAATAACTGGCAAGAAATAGCAGTCTCAGCTCCAAGCAGAATCTGTGTCCATCCTTTGTGGCATCCTCCAATGGAAGGTTTTATCAAACTCAACTTTGATAGGAGCAGTGAAGGAAATCCAGGGCCATCAGGGGTTGGTGGTGTTTTCAGATCAGAGGCAGGTTCAATAATAGCTCTTTTTTCAGGACCAATTGGATTCGGGGATTCATTGAGAGTAGAAATTCTGACGTTGTTAGAGGGGGTGAAAAGGGCTAATGAGCTAAATATAAACAGGTTATTTATTGAAGGAGATACATAAGTGGTAATTGGCTGGATAGAGAAGACAAATGATGGGTTATGGACATACATTAATGAACGAAGGCAATTCAAGTGGTTAACTCGAGGAATGGAAGTGCGTATCCAGTGGGTTAAAAGATGTGCCAATTCATTTGCAGAGCTCTGGCTAAATAGGGGGTGGGGAGAAGTCATTTGTGGCTACACTGTACTGTAATTTTCCTTTTGGGGGAGAGTTATGATAGTTTGCCTCCCCCCACCTTTGTATTTAAACCTTTTTCTTAATTAATGAAAATTTTCTGTTATTGATAATAAAAAATGGTTTGGTGACAGAGAGAAAGCTATCTACAACACCAGTGAGAATAAGTAATTGGTACTTGAAGGGTTAATAGTACTGGCAGGCCAAAAAGAACATAGGTGAAGTAATTAGAGATGATTTCATGGCTTGTAATTTCAATCAATATGACACTTGTGAGCATTGGGAAAACGACTCACTTGGGCTGGATTTGGAGTCGCCTGTCGCCACCTATCATTTGAAGGAATTAGAGGTGATGGGGCCTCCGAGAATAATTTTCAAAAGTTGTTTTTGTTTTAATAGTGACTCCAAAGCCCAGACACTGACAACACCAGTCTGGGTAAGACTAGGATGGGAGAGGGAAGGGGTTAGGCACCCTTCTCCCGGATCCATAGGTGGGGCCCACATGGGATACCCAACAAGCATAAATGCAAATATTTAATTCAATAGAAACATGCTAATATGAGAGAATAGAACAAATCAACAAAAAGGAAACCCTTCCTATTTCAACTCTGCATTTTATTTATTTTTATTTTTATGTACATGTATTTTATATTTCTTTTTTATTTTCCATTTTGGGTTATTACAGTCCATTCGGCATCAGATCAACTTCTAGGACTTCTGTGAAATCAAAGCTCAGTAGGACTGAATCTAACACATTTCCAGATTCTTGTGCATCTATTCCATCGGGCTAAGACTGCCATTCAAACATTATACGTTAACATAATCACCAGTTTTAAGAAAGAAGAAAAAACAATAAAATAAAATAAAATGAACAAAACTGAGAAACTCACGTTTGAACAAATTCTAAACATAATTAGTATCATAAACTGCTGCAACTAAATAGATGAACGAAATCATGTCTGTAACAATTAAAGAAATCTACTCTCAATCGAAACTAACAACCGGTATTATAATCTCAGAACAGAATATGAATTTCACCATCTTTTTTTTTGTTTTTTATCATGTCTTGATCTTCAAATATAGAATCAATAACACCATTACAAAGAAAACTCATATCTGTAACAATCCACAACCAAACCTACATAACAGGGAGAATAAGACTAAAAATAAGGGGAATGAAACTGATGGCAGAGCTGGACGAACAACCATATTATTGACAGCATTAAACATGAGAAAATCTACTTCTCAAAGGTAAGACGGTAAGAGGAAAAGAGCAAAAGAAGACTAATAGCGGTCTAATCCCTACCGATGCAACTTTCGAATCTAACTAGGCATGGAGTAGGCAGCAAATTTCAGGTTGGATTGGGTTGAGGATAAGATCTACGGGAGTCCGATGGAACCTACTCCATCGATCTACTCCTCAACCTCAATCCTCATTGTCAAAACAAATGCAGAGAAATTTCGGTTCGATGTGCTCCGCAGGTAGGGATCAGGGACTATGGCAAGTCGATTGAGTTTGCTTCCACCTTCCAAGTGTGAGCAAACAGGCGACAACGTCTGCAACTTGCTCGACTCAAGGTGAAGCTCGTGGAACAGGGGAAGTCTCGGTTTGCTATAGAATGTTAAGAGCAGAAAACACCACCGGAAAAACGGACAAGATAGGAGAGACGATGCTAAAGACCACGAAGCTCTCACTGAATCTAGTAGAAAATGAGGATTCCGCCACTGACGTGTCCTATTTTTGCAGAGAGGGAGTAGCAACGACCAGAGAAAGGAGGAGAGAATATTAACGGGAAGAATGAGAGAAAATGAAACAGAAAGAAAAAGAGAGGGGAAGGCGAAGATGGAGGGATATTGTTGAGAGAGAAGGGGAAATGCCGCTACTGTTCAGCTAAGAAGACGATAAACAGTAGTAGTGAACAGTAAAACTGTAGATTAGGGCGAATTGAAACATTTGGTCACTTTTATATTGAGCACCAGGGGTATTTTCATAAATTTTGTGAAATTTAAGGGCAGTTTTGTAATTTTGAAAACCTAGGTAAAAAATGGTCTAAGGGGGGCCAAACTAGGGTTTTGGTTCAATGATCAGAGGGTTAAGATGGGTTTTGGGTATAGTGAAGGGTTTTGCAATTACATGTGTGGGCCATTAAGATTGATCGAAACTGAATCTTTTTGAATGAATGGGCAACCAAGGGTATTTTCAGTTGAAATTTCACAAGATAGGGTGTTTGAGCATTCTGGGTTGATTGGTAAGGTCAGATTGGGCCGATTAGGTCCGGATCGGACGGATTTGGAATCCGGTCAATCTAGAACCTCGAAATGGAATCTTAGTACAATGAAAGGGTAAATGGGGGTGTTTTGGGTTGAAACTTTATGGGCAGGTGTTTTGGTATATCTAGGACTCAATCATACAGTCCAATTGGCTTAAGTGTGTTTGGATCAAGGGGATCTAGGTTGTAGGTGTTTTAGGCTAACAAGAGGGGCTGAAATGGAATCTTTGCTTGATGAGAGGGTAAACTGAGGAGTTTTGAGTTGAGATTTTCTGGGTAGGTATTTTGGGAGGTCTTGAATTTGATGGTCGTGTTTGATCTGAGGGTCAAAGTGTAGACAGGGGTTGATTGGGGTCATCGGATTGGTATTGGGCAAATTTAACGGTGGATTTGAGGGTTCTCGGGGCAAAATTTGGGTTCTTTGGATTTTTTTGGCATTTTGGAGGGATTGGAAGGGTCTGATCAGGAATTTGGGGTGAATTGGGGGTTCAGGTGGCGGACCTAGCAAAAATCGGGTGCTGACAACACTGAACAGAGTGGAATGGTGGAACGCAGAGTTCATGTAGCAAACACCATATATATGGAATGGTCAATATGTCATCTGTAATCACACAAGATGGATATAAAGGAGCTATACAGAATTTGGATAGTTCCTTAGTTTTTTACCAGAGTACATATATGCTCTGAACTGGCATTTGCACTCTTGTCAAATGGAGCCCTAGAGTTGAGCCTTGAGGCCTTTTATTTGAGCTTTGCATCAAAATGTGCCTCAAGGTATAAGCCTTCTATGCTTTTCAATGCACTCTTGAGACATGGCATAACCTGTTACTGCTAACACTTTGAATATCCAAAAACTGCAATAATGCATATAGTTCTTTATCATTCAATGATCTATGACAAGCCACTGACCTTTTTAATTTGTTTTTCTCTAGGATGATGTAGTTGCAAGGATTGAGAACAGAATTTCCACTTGGACCTTTCTTCCCAAAGGTATCAATCCTTGCTGCCCTTAGGTTTTTAGAACTCCATAAACTGCTTGGTACCTATTTCTGTATGATGATGTTTTGTTTTTTATTTTCAAAAAATATTACTAAATGTCTTTTGTCCTTCAGTAAGCAGCACTCCTCTGCATGTTTTGCATTATGGGATAGAAGAGACAAAGAAGCATCTTGATTATTATGGTGATGAAGGCAGGAGTCAGCCTTTGATGGCAACAGTGGTCTTGTATCTGTCGAATGTCACTCAAGGTGGTGAGATTTTCTTCCCCAAATTAAAGGTGAGACAGATATTTGTTTTCTACTTTACAATTAGTAGTGAATGGAATTTGATACAACATGGGATATAGAAGTAATTATATACTAGCATCCATCATTTTTCTTGTATGAATAGTAAGATCTGATGGGTGTTTAATTTTTTAATACCAACAGCTCAAGAACACTTATCTGAATGATGGCTCATGGTCTGACTGTGCAAAACATACTTTTGCCCTCAAACCTATTAAAGGAAATGCACTACTATTCTTTAATGCCCATCCCAATACGATCCCTGACGAGAGCAGCTCGTATTCTAGATGTCCTGTCCTTGATGGGGAAAAGTGGTGTGCCATGAAATTCTTCTACATCAGAGCTATTAGTGGGGAGAAGGTTCTGTCTGAATTAGGCAACAGCGAGTGCACGGATGAAGAAGAAAGTTGTCCGAGGTGGGCTGCTCTGGGAGAGTGCCAGAGGAATCCTGTATACATGATTGGTACTCCTGACTACTACGGTTCTTGTAGGAAAAGTTGTAATGCATGCAGATGATTTTGGGTTTCGACATTTTGATTAGCCTTTTGGGTTCTGGCAAGGGAAAGGAAAAGAAATTTTCTTTGTTGAACAAAATAGAACAATCATCTGAAAAAAATTGATTTCTGTAATGTGCCAAGCTTCTTAACAGCTTAAGAAGGCTGGTGTTGATGCTGAATCTTGACTGATAGAATTACAAAGTTAAATTGATGAGATTTTTAAGGGGTCATTGATTGGTTTAATGGTAAAATCTCGGGTTGAATTGAAAACTCTGAATCTGTAAGATTATTCATAAAATAAACAGTCTGGAGTAACAAGTTTTTGGTAAGTAGAGTAGATGATGATGGCACGCGGAGCCTATTCTATCCTGAAAGTGAAACCAATTCATTTATAATTTTAGTAAAATAATGGAAATGAGCATATTTTGTTTTTTGGAAAACCATCATGACATTGTTTGGTTGCATGTAAAATGAAGGAAAACAAATGATTTTCTGAAAATTTCTATTGTTTTTTACTTATTTATTTGCTTACAATAATGGTCATGAAAAATAAATGTTTTCCAAAAAGTGAGCAGGAAGAGGAAAAAATAACATTTTCCTAATTTTTTGTGAATCATTTTTCCAATAGGGTTGTTCATTTTGTTTTTCAAACCAAACATCAGGAAATGATTATTTTCTTGAAATTTTCAAAGAATCATTCATTTTCCTTCATTTTATGTGCAATCGAACAAAAAATATCATTTAATTGGACCAATCCATTCCCCGAGGCTGTTATTTGAATGGATGGGAATCTCTGAGGTTGTTCTTTTGGAATTCACATTTGCGCCTTACGGAGGGCGCCCCCGCAAACGCCCCACAGCATATTTTAATCGTGTATTGGGAACATCTCCCACTAATAATTTCGGGAGATGTTTGTTCTATATGCTGAGATGTGCATAGGGATGGCAATTTCATGGGAATTTTCGGGAATTCAACTTGTTTTGGCCCTAATAGGACTCATTTATCAAAACCCTACAATCTTATAGGGTTTGGGTTTTGACTTTAGGGTATCCGATTATCGGATACCCGGAATGCATAAATGTGAATCTATTATATTATATATTATGCATAAATTTATAAATTTTAAGTATTAAGATAATTATTCTTTATTAATATTTTATTTGTATAAATTTTCTGGAATTAATATTATCATTTGATGTAAATTTGGATTTGATAGATTGTTTATTTTCTTTAGCTATAAAATGCTACTTTTAAATATCATTTCTTTTAATTTTTAGTTGGAATTGTTAATCGTATATATGTATTGTTTGTTTTGATGAACACAAAAATTAATAAAATCTACTTTATTTCATTAAATAATACAAAAGGCTAGATGGGTTAGTGGCCTAAAGTAGTGCTAAGGGATTTGGTGCTATCATTAATTGATTCGGGTTCAAGTGACACTATAAGCATTAAGAATTGTTTTTAGTAGAAAACATTTGGTCAATGTGTTTAATAGGTGGGACGGGTTTAATGAGTTTGGGAAATTAAAAGGGAAAGTTGTATGGGTTTGGGACAGGTTTAGAATTAGGGATACATAGGCGGATTTGAGAATGGATAGGGCAATTTACACGAATACCCTACCCGTCATTCCTAGATGTGCATGTAGGACGTTTCTGAGGTGCCCTCTGTGATCTTGTTCTTTCGGTTGGTATGCTTAACGTAGATGGGCCCAACCGGAGCTCTTGCATGGGCCTGTCAGCCAGCATACCGAGCTACCCCAAAGTTGGTGACGATGATGACGATTGAGGTATCGAACCATAAAAACTCAAAATTCTAAAACATTTTCAAAGTTTAACAATTCTACTGTTCTATCACGGCCCAACCCAAGATAGTGGTTGGGCTGGGCTGGGCTGTGGTGGGCTCCTCCACAAGCCCTAGTATGCAGTTTTCATCCTTGCCTGACCTGGTCAGCCCGTCAAATTAGCATGCATACGCCTTCATATGCCGTAGCTAGTTCAGAATTTCAAATGTTGAAACCAAATGATCAGCTGTGTCGATCTTCAGATCACTTCATGATTGCCTTTGCCTCTCGGTGATATCAAACTCCCTTGGGAATAACAAGACTGGATGTGCTGACCACAAAATGCTTTGTACAAGATTCCCTACAATTGCACAATGAAACATCTCTTGATGTTTCCAATGTCTTGTGCATAGGATGTGGTTAGTATTTTATGATCAACAAATTAGAACTTCGGAGCGACACCCCAATAATGCAAAAACTCTGAATTCATAAGCTCATCTGATCTCAATAAGGGTGCAATTTAGATTGGCTCGAGATAGCATTTTACACCGGTGTTAAAGACTTGGACCGGAGTGAAAACTGGAATGCTCTTTGGGTCCTGGTTTTACCAGTTAATTGGGCGGTTTGCCCATCTAATCTGCTAAAACTGTCATTTAATCGGGACCTGGAAAGGCCACTGGTTCCTAGTTTTAATGGTCTGACTGTTTGGTCTGGCCGAGTCTTAAAACACGGTTTTACACTATTTTTGACTTGGGCCTTTGAAATGGGTTCATTCATTTTTTTTTGACAAAAATTCAACCGAACCCGCCCAAGTTACATCCAATGTTTTCAACCTACCATTGACTTGATCAGTTGAACCGTTGAAACCATCATCTAACCTTGATTTTGGGTTCGGTTCTGCTGAAACTCGCCATTTAGTAAAAAAAAGTTGACTTAGTCAAAAACCGTTCGACTCAGGTGGTTGAATCATTGACCTGTTGAACCTAGTCACCGGGTTGCAGGTTGTACACTGAGTGTATGAATATGCTTCCGGAGGCCATAATTTTGCATTTTGATGTTCGATTGTGGTGATATTTTTTTTTTTTATTTTGGAAAAATCGCAATTTTTAGCATTTTTTATAAATAAAAATTTTAAAAACTAAGTTATAAATATAAACTAAACATAAAGTAGTATTTATATATTCATGTAATATATCTAAAGAATATTACTTGACCCATTTGACCTAAACATTCGAATTGGTAGCTTGTGACTCGAAGGCAAAAGTGTCGGTTTTCAAAACATTTGGTCGGATCTAGAGGTGTAAATCAGGTTGTGCCACCTGTGGCCTAGTATGACCCAACCCAAATTTGGGTCGGCTCAGCACGACATGAAACGACGACACGCGAGTTGTGCCAGGCTTGGCACGATGGTCCGGGCCATGCTAGGCCTGGGGTTCTAGGTCCACAGGCCGGCATGGCCTAGCCCACGGCATGACACGTGGCATAGCCCGTGGGCCCGTAGTTGGCCGTGCTTGGCCTGCCCGATGAACCAACCGTTGGGGGTTTCCATGTCTAGTTTTAGGTTTTTGGGTTCTTTTTTTACAAAAATACCCCCTAACAACTATATAGGGGGGTATTTATGTATTTTGGTTTTTTTTTTGGGGGGGGGGAGAAAGAATGACTTAAATGCCCCCTCAATAGCTATTATTTGGGAGGCATTTTGGATAAAGTGATAAATAACTTTACAATGACAAAAATACCCCTCCCAATAACTAAAAAATGACTAGTTTTTAGGGTATTTTGGGTAATTGAATTATTTTCAATTCCTATAAATAGCCCTATACTCCACTATTCTCATCACACCAATTCAACAATTCTCTTAATCTTTTCTCTAGTTCTCATACTCTCTCAAGTCTCAATCTCTCATATATTCTCTAATTCTCCAATTCTCAACTTGATTGAAGTTTCAACAAGAAGAAGGCTTGCTCAATAGCTCAAGTATCTCAAGTTAGCAATTTGGGAGGCTTGGACTTTTGGAGTTGAAAGGCTTTAACCATTGAAATCAAGTTGAGATTCTAAACTAGCAATCTGGGTAATTGCAATTAAACTAATTTTTATTTTTTTTAGAATTTAAAAAAAATGGTTGGGCTCCTCTTGAAACCAATTCCCAACATGTTCAATGTCGACGATATTTAGTCGCAACATGGTAGTGTTAGCACTATGGATGCTATTGATATTGATAGAACTTCCACCCCTAGTATTGATACTAGGAAGGCCACTAAGTTGATTAGCCCGGTTTGAAAAATATTTAAAGTAGAGGAGGTTCAGAGAAAGGGAAAAAGAGTTGTTTGCCAAAAAAATGTAGGAAAAACTTTAGCTATTGTAGCAAGGTTGGTACTAGCCATTTGAGAAAACATTTGCTCACCCATGAGAAAGAAGAAGAAGAAGAAGGTAGAGAAACAATACAAACACAAATTAGGCAGGGGTGGGGGTTTGGTACTTTTAAATATTCATTCTCAAGAAAAGATGTGGCACGGATTAGCAAAATACATTTGTATATGCTGAACAACTATTTTTGTTAGCTGAAGATACTAAACTTGAAAAATGGTTACATAATTCTGTAAATCCACAATTTAAAAAAGTTTCTAGGAATACTATTAGACCAGATTCTTTAAAATTTTTTTATTCATATAAACAAAATTTAATTTATATGTTATCAAATCTTAATTCTAAAGTTGTAATTACTTCTGATATTTGGACTTATAAATTTAACATAAGTTATATTTGTGTTACTGGTCATTTTATTGATAAAAATTGGTTTTTAAATAAAAGAATTTTAAGTTTTACTAGGCTTGAACGGCCACATACTGGCCCAACTATTGTTGCAAGTATTTTAAATACTTTACATGCTTATGGAATTGACAATCAAATATTTTCTATTAGTTTTGATAATACTAGTAATAATGATTCAACAATAAATATTTTAAAATCTCAATTAAAACCATGTTTAAATGGTAAATTATTTCATATCAGATGTGCATGTCACATCTTAAATTTATGTATTCAGGATGCTTTAAATATTATTTCTACTCATATTTCTAAAATTAGAAATCATATTATATATATATTAAAAGTTTTGAAGCAAGAAAACAAGAATTTAAATATTTATGTCAAAATTATGGTTTAAAATATAAACATTTTATATTAGATGTTAAACATAGGTGAAATTCTACCTATGCTATATTAGAAAGTTGTATTTCTCACAAACAAATTCTTAGTGATTTTTATAATGCAAAAATGCCCACTGATGTTATATTTGAGGAACACAGGGAAATGACAATTTGTATAAGAGATTTTTTAAAACATTTTTATGATGCAACTAATGAATTATTAGGTATTTATTATCCAAATAGTTGTAATTTATCTTATCAATTAATGATGGTTAGTGATTATGTTGCAAAATATAGAAAGAATTCATAATTTAAAAGCATTGTTGAAATAAT